GTGTGTGTGTGTGTGTGTGTGTGTGTGTGTGTGTGTGTGTGTGTGTGTGTGTGTGTGCCAGGTACAAACACCAAAAGAGAGTCCTGTCCAATATGTTAAACTGTAAGATGTCACGTCCCATTGAGACCAGTGTCTAACAACTCACCTGATTTCCTAAAACAAGATTCAACATTCAGTACAGCACCATTTCCATGTTCAACGATGAAAGATCTACAGAAATATGAGGAATTCTTTTCCCTTGTTTTTTTTTCTTCACGCACTCTTTAATGTTATAATTCTGAATCTCTGATACATAATAAAGATGAACAATTTGGGATATGAAGCACGAGGCTGGTGTATATCCCATACAAAAATATATCATCCTTCCAGTCTTATGTGTCTTTTTCTATTTTAAACTGTAAAATAAATTAAAGATGCAAATGTAAGTTGCTGTCAGAAATTGTAGTTCACTGTGTCTGTGAATAAATATGGGACCAGCATGGCCACTTCTGTTTGTGCTTTCTGTTTGCTATGTTTGAGTTATGTGTGCCACTGGAGCTTTTCAAGGGTTAATTGGACTCTGCTCAAGGTTTCTATTTTTTATCAATGATCAATGTATGTGTATATAGACTTTTGATAAAACTATATTGATTGTTAATTGTACCTGTGCATGTGCAATGACAATAAAGTTGAATTCTATTCTATTCTATTTACTCTTTTTTCTTGTACTTTGTTATTTTATATGTGGTTGAGTTGGATGGATTTTATTGCTGATTTCTGGTATTTATTTTCCTGGTTTGTAATAAAGTGTTGATTGGCTCAATGGAAATAGTTCTTGTGTGTGTGGTGTTCGTCAAATTTTAATCCAGACAAAACTTTCCTTGAGGCTTAGCATTTGCACGTTCCTCAGACTCCTGCATTTTCCTCTCTACGCAGTGTGTAACCCTCTTCCATGAGAGTCTGCATAATACTTTGTACTTACTGTAGGCCCCTGTTATTTTGTTTCTCTGCCTCCACCCTTTTTTTTATTTGTTTGCCTTCATCTGAACCTCTCAAAGTGGCTGGTGGTTAATTTGTCACTTAGTCACTCTGTGCAGCCAAACATCGTTCCAAAGATGCCACACATGACAGGTTGAAAGTGGGGGAAATATGTCTAAGATGAATCATAAAATGATGAAAATGCCACTTTAATTAAATATAGCAATCATCAACAATGGTACAAACAAGATGACAAAGAGTGAATGCAATAATAAGCTGCTTTAGTGGACAGATAATAGGAAAACTGGATGACAGGAGATAAAACCAGTAAATAAAAGTCCTCTCTCATTTTGCTTCTCTGTGTCTGTGTGTGAAAGATGGGGAAATGCTTACAGATGGAAAACTTTGTCTTAATAGTTAAATAATGAATGTGAAATGAGGTGAGCACTGCAGTTTAGAGGCAGAGACTTTGTAATGGCTTGCCAGCCCACCAGACAGCCTTATATTACTAAGCAATTTTCCTCCGCCATGATGAATGACTAAATGAGAATAAACAGATGTTTTATTGTAGGATAGGGTTTCCATGTGCACCAGTTTCCAAATGGTAGACTTTTAAGAAATGGAAAATGAGGGTTCCCAGTGGCACAGTTTTGCTGTTCCATCATGAAGGAGATCCATAGATGTTAGCTGTGCAAGCCCCAGAAGAGGTTTTACATTTCTGTTTTTGAAAATTGGGTTTTACTCAAGAGGAAGAATGTATTCTTATCCACTAAATGCAACTTTTCATTTAGTTCATTCATTTAATTTTCTTTTTTATTTAAAAGAAAATCATACAAGTTTGTAGTTTTAACTGAGATGATATTGTACATGCAGAGCAAATATGTGATCTATGTAAGTGTCTGACAACTCTCGGTGTAAGCCACAAGTTTAAAGAGTGAGAGAGAGAGAGAGAGAGAGAGAGAGAGAGAGAGAGAGCATTTGATTATTAGTTGGGTTTATTAGCTCGTTTAACTGCCCATTAACAAACATGCACAAATGTCT